TATTTATTTATATTTATATAGACAGGGCGTAATGTGAAATGAAATGAAATAATGTAAGCCACAGGTTTAAGTGCATCTCTGGTCAATATCACTCAAAACAAATAACTGCAAGTAAGTCCTCTGAAAAGGACAATCACATCCACTTCATTTATAAGAGCATCTTATGAATACATAAAACATTTGATCATCTGTCTACCCACTTACAAATACATTTTGGACTAGAATTTCTAACAAACCTAAGGAGAAAGGACCCACATCGTGCAGGCTTTGTGCAAACAGGTATTCACAAGACGACTAGACCCAAGATTGTGGCACCTGCACTTGGAGAAGTCAGTCTTGTGTGCACCAGAGATGGCTATGTCATTCCCACAAGCACACATTCACATTCAGGTCTGACTCTCACCCTAGAGACTCTTTTTACCCCTGCAAACCTGTTATGGTAATGAAAAGTTTGTGACCCTGAGGACAGTCTAATCTCATTGGGGAAGTCTGTCACGGTGCATTCCTTCTCAAAGTCAACCATCTCGCTTCCAATGATATGAGCCAGCTGTATCGGTTCACAGAGAGATAGGTCTGCTATAACGTGAAGACTCAGCTTAGGGGGTATGACCACAGCTGATCACATAGGATAGTAGGTATAGAAAAAATTTATTGGGGAGAGGGGGTATGTGAGGACCACCCAGACACGCCAATATTGGCAAAAACATAGAGAACTGGGTACCATGTGGCTTACATTATTTTAAAAAAAGAAGACGGATTTGGGTCGAGAAAAATGTTTGGCATGTTGTTGTTAGGTGCCATCGAGTTGGTACTGACCCATAGTGACCTTATGCACAGCAGAATAAAACACTGCCCGATCCTGGGCCAACCTCACTACTGTTGCCACACTTGAGTCCATTGATGCTGCCACTTGGCCAATCCATCTCACTGGGGGTCTTCCTCTTTTTCTCTGACCCTCCACCTTATCAAACATGATATCCTTCTCCAGTGATTGGTCCCTCCTGACAATACATCTGAAGTATGAGAGACGAAGTTTGGCTATCTTGGCCTCCAAGGAGCACTCTGCCTGCACTTCTTCCAAAACTGATCTATTGGTTCTTTTGGCAGCCCATGGCACTTTCAATAGTCTCCTCCAACACTATAACTCAAATGCATCAATTCTTCTATGGTCTTCATTATTCATGTCCAGCTTTCGCATCCATATGAGGTTATTGAAAATACCATGGCTTGGGTCAGGCACACCTTAGTCCATGGCAATGTTAATAAGGACAGAATTTGCCCTCGGTTGTTAATAACCTAGCATCTTTGGTAAATGCTCACTCAATCAGGCCCTTCTCATTGCTGCGGTGGGAAGCAAGGCATGAATGGTGTGAGAGCTTTGACTCCTCGCTGCACTGTCAGCAGGCGGGACAACTGCCCTTGAACTACAGAGGAGTTTCTTTAACTCCCAAGTAGATCGCCAATGTCCCTCGAATAAGACTACTTACGTTATAAACAGAATCCTCTTTTGAGAGGAGAGGCACTTAAGAAAGCTCTTATTGCAACTCATTCTTACCCCCTTCTAACAGTTGAGCAGGGAGTGTGGTAGCTCTGTACAATAAGCACTGAGCTCAGAACCACAAGGTCAGCGGTTCAAGCCTGCCAGCCGCTCTGTGGGAGAAAGATGAGGCTTTCTGTTCCCGCACAGATATAAAGCCCCGGAAATCCTATATGGGATCACCATGAGTTGTAAACGACTCGACAGCCCTTAACAACAACAACAACAACAACAACAACAACAACAACCAGGTGTGCAAAGCACCCTGGTGATGCAACAGTCAAGTGCTCAGCTGTTAACCTAAAGGTCGACGGTTCAAACCCATGCAGCCACTCGGCAGGAAAAAGAGCTGATGTTCCGCTTCTATAAGGATTACAGCCAGGAAACCTCTCTCGGGCAGTTCTCTGTTACGTGGGATTGTGATGAGTCAGAATCGCGAAGGCGTCCAGGTGAGTTGCAGGTGCACTCAGGTGCTGGAGTGGAGGTTCACCTCTGGAGACATCACAGCCAGCTCTGCTGGGGGACAGTTGGAGTACACCAGAGAAAGCTTGTAGCTAGGAGAGAGAACTGCCCCACAGGGCTCCCTAGGCTGTCCTGTTTATGGGAGCACATTGCCAAGGCTTGTCTCCCATGGGACTGCGGGGGGAGGGGGGGTTAGGAGCAGAGACTTTTTGGCTCGCAGCCAGGAAGTTAACCATTGTGCCACCAGGGTTCCAGAGAAACCTTGATGAGTCACCAAAGCAAAACGAGCGCCTCGATCATCCCGCAGAGGAATACTAGAGAGTTTTGTGAAACCGTTCTAGAAATTCGTTTTTAATAGACACACAGGATTCTGGTGTGACAGGCCAGAGGTAAAAAGGGGATCTTGAAAAGTGGTACCTCTCACCCTGAGTCCCCGTCACCCAGTGTCCTGCACAGAGGCAAGCCAGCACTGTGGACATCTCCCTGTCTCTCATACTGGAGAGATGTGGACACGTGCAAGTACCTTCTCACACTAGGCGTCGACTGTGGTGCACACGGGGTGGCCTCTGGCTTTTTTGTCCAAGATGAAGCCCCAGAGACTGTTTGGCATTCATACGCTGAAATTAGCCTGTTCTTGGTGGTGGTTCCATAGTGCCCCATTCTAAAAAAGCGTACCAGCATTTCTTTATTCAATCCCCCCACTGATATAAGTGTCCTAACCAACTGCTTGTTAGAACTAAGCATCCGAGTCCTTGCAGTCCTCACTCTTCACCTGAATGTACCTGCAGGTACATGTGAAACAGCTAAAAGGAGAGACTCAGAAGAGAGAACGTCTGGTGAGGTGGAGGGGCAGCAGAAAAGAGGGAGACCCCCAACAAGATGGGCTGGCACCGCAGCAATGGGCACAAGCGTAACAATTGTGTGGATGCCACAAGATCGGGCAGGGTTTTGTTCTCTTGTGCTGTGAGTTGAAACCAACTTGACGGCATTTAACAACAATAACAAAGCATAGGGAGAGTAAAATCAGCTCTCTAATTTCCTGTATCTCTCACCTCTCCACACTGAGACAAGAAAGAAGGAAGACCGATCTGTTCCTGCTCAAAGCAATGAGAAGCAGAAGTACCTTCCTTTGGGAAGCAGCTTAGTGGGTGTGTTTTTGGCCAAAATTAGCGTGTGTCTGGCCCGTGTTTGAAAAGGCTTACCTCACAGTGTTCTCGGTAGAGGCTTTGCAGTGACTTAATGTCCTCAAACGTCGTACCCTCTGGCAGAGAAGAGATTTCAACTTCTCCAAACTCCGGGAGTGCTCGAGATGCATCTGTTACCATGACAACACAACAGAAAAAAGCGATGGTGGATGGTGCCAATTACAGACTAATGAGGGGAAATTTAAGAAGACTAAAAAAGGAAAAAGAAAATTAAAGGTCAGCGGTCCAGAGAGCAAAGGCTTTTCATATTAGTATTTTGCAAGAAAAGCTTAGCAGCAGCAGCAGCACAAAAGATTCCCCTCACTAGATCGGCAGTTTATCCAGACGACTCAAGTAGAGGGAACATTCCTACAAAGAGCTGGAGACACTGAACTGTCACTACAATTGTACTGTAAGCAGGGTATCACAGCGTCTCTCAAAGTGGGGAGAATCGTGTTAGAAGAAAACTCTCTCGAGCATGCTGGTATCAACTTTTAGTTATTGCATTATTCGGTTTCTTTCTTACAAATGGAAAAAGAAAAACACACACAACAAACAAATTCATAAATAAATCTACTGTTAAACTTATTGTATCCATACCTCTTACGTAACCATAAACCAAAAGAGATACAAAGAAATATCACGAAAGCTACAAAGGTAACATTAAACTTAACATTCATTTGAGGTGATGGATGATGTTGCGTTCTGAAACGAGACTTCTCTTGCTACATAAATTCAGTATTGGCTGCTGCAAGACAAGATCTTTGGGTTTTGACAGGCTTATACCAACACATGCTGTTTGGTGGCTGTTTCCCCCCATTACTCTTTCCCCTTCATGGGACACAAAGCACTGGGACAGCACTTGGTGTTCCCAAGGGGCAAATTACATGAAGGGTCTCACTGCTCTTTCCGCATTGGCTCTGGATAGTTATCGTGATACACTTTGGTGCTTCCTGGATCATGCATTGCAACACACACACAAGGCAACTCAAGTTACAGAGTAGTATTCAGTTCCAGTCTAGGTAATACAGAATATGTTTCTGTCTTTTTACGGTTATCATTAGAAATAAAAACTCACAACAAGAAGAAGAAATAGACAAAATTCTTGTTGAGAGCTCAAGGTTCCCCAAGAATACATCTGAGGATTCTATATGGGGAAATACCACCGCAGTGTTTCCAACTCCAGAGCTACTGCTAGCTGAGGGTCCATTTTTGTTGTCTTGGTCAGAAATGCACACAGATGCATGAACACACACGCACTGCACTCGCGGATCGTTTCCACTTCTCTTGATGTGATGCACAGAAAGTAGGCATGCCGGTGTCTCAAGAGGAGTAGCCAGGGTAAAGTGTCATTTTTGCACCGTTGGCATTGGCAGGAACATGTGGGAATGTTCAAGTTCCACTGCCTAACTCTTTCCATGACACGTACACCAGCTACAGAAATGGCACAATTATAAGGACTGTGACTGAGTTAAAAGAGTGCATTGCGTCTGAAAAGTTTTAACCATGCTTTTTTTGTTTATTTTTGTTTTCTACTCTGAGGTGGTGTGCATAGACTCCTTCACACACAGAGAAGCGTCATTCATTTTGGCATCTGGAGTTACTGCTGAAAAGAAACACAATACGATCCTTGATCACAGAAGCCCAGTGAAAACACATTCTGGAAAATAATGGTAGTGCCATGAACACTATGTCTTTAATACGTATGCAGTTAAAAATGCTAAGTGGCTCAAGTTGAAACATTTGAAGATAATAATAATAAAACGCTAGCTAACATGAGAGAGTAAGCAAGAACTAAAAAGATCGCTGGAGACTGCAAGGTTTCAGCGCATGCAATGTGTTTTATTTTGTTTTCCTACGTAATGAACATTTGTAACAGACACAGCACTAGGAAAGAAGACTGTCCTTGTTCTTTGGTTTTTTGAGAACCCTAATAGCAACTAATACGCATCACACCTTAACATACCTAAAAACTGTTGATGATGCTGGCCTTGGGCAATTACAGTTTGCTCAACAGATGTACCTGTCTGTTGGCCACTTCCTGTGAAACCATCTGCAACCCCATCCACTTTCTGCATAGGCTTGTACCTAAAAATATTAGATGGGAAAAAACACACCAAATTATTCCTTGCTGGGTTGTTTTTTTAATTTAATTTAATTTCTTTGCACTACCCAACCTCTCCCACGCCATTCAACTTTATACTATCTTCTTTCATGTCTCAAGAGAGTCGAAGGATTGTTCTTGGTTTGTATTCTTCATTAGACAGCCTCCTAACATTTAAATGGAGACATTTTTTAAAAAATCCAGAAATCAATGTTAAGAATGCAAACTGGAGAAAGTAGGTCTTTGGGCAGCAGTGGCATAGATGTCCTCGGAAATGGTTTTAACACACAGCTTAGGTGTTATTTCTGAATGGTTAATGTGTCAAGGAAAGAATATTTTAAATCAACTGAAATTATCATCTGAATGGGCTAACATGTAGGAGCTGGGGTCTGAGAACCGCGGAGGCAATACTTTCTATTAGTTAATATCACACAAGTCTGACTTCACCTACATCGACCACTCTGTTTCCCTGCCCACCTAAGATCTCTTGTGCGTCTCAACTTACTCATTTTCATGGACTCTTACCACCTGGAAATACAAAGACTGTAAGCACTGGCTTGTAGCAGAATCCATGCCACGATCCACCTATACATCTAATTTATTATGAACATCAAATGCAAACAAAAGCACAGGGTCATGGTCAGCACGAGTTAGGTAATTATTTCAGGTCCTGGTCATATAAATGCCCATCTATCTCAGACTGCCAAGGCGCGAAGATGGAGAACTAGCTTTTAGCACCGTGGGCAAGGAAGGATGGATGACTGTTTGGCAGAAGGATCCCACAATGTCTGAAGTTATGCAGACAGCAAGTACGAAATGAGACACAACTACCGTTATCTTCTCTTGCTAAGAAGCAATGTATTTATTTTGCCTTCATTTCAGCAATTTAGAAGTATCAGAAAAGAAGGAGAAAGTTCAGATGTACAGGAAGTTTATCACCCAGACATATCGCCATGCACATTATGGTGTATATCCTTCCATTCCCACCACCCCACCCCAATTTCAAACTCTATTATAAACAAAACAGCCTAACACATTCACCATCCATCTCTTCGCTCTAACAGCTTGGGGTGTACTGCTCAGGTGACATCATTGTAACTGTGTCTCTAACACATGGATGGACACAGGCAAAGACACATGTCCTCTGATAATGGGACATCACCTGGACAGACTTAGAGACATCACAAAAACGTATGCTCGGTGGCCACAGGAAATGAACATTCAGTTGTGAATTGTAACAAGTTTGACTTAGATCAAGAAAACTGCCAAGAAAATGGCAAAGCTCCTCATGATGACATTTACAATGATTTCTTACGGAACACTAGCTCCCAAACTATGAAAAGCAGAGACCAGGAAGAGGGTAAACAGAGTAAAATGAAGAGGTAGCATATGACCAAGAGCCAAGGATCCTGAAGGAAGAAGTCCAAGGTGTACTGAAAGCATTGGCAAAGAACAAGGCTTCGGGAATAGATGCAATACCAACTGAAATCCTTCAACAAACTAATGTGGCAATAGAGGCACTCACTCATCTATGCCAAGAAATTTGGAAGACAACTTCCTGGCCAACTGATTGGAAGAGATCCGTATGTGTGCTCAAAGAGAGGTACCCAATGGAATGCAGAAATCATTGGGCAATATCATTAATATCTCATGAAAGTAAAATTTTGCTAAAGAGAATTAAAAAACAGCTGAAACCGTATATTCACAGAGAACTACCAGAGGCTCAAGTTAGATTCAGACAAGGACATGAAATGAGGGTTATCACTGCTGATGTCAAATAGATCTTGGCTGAAAACAGAGAATACCAGAAAGATGTTTGCCTGTGCTTTATTGACAGGCAAAGGCTTTTGATTGTCTGAACCATGGCAAGCTATGGACAGCATTGCAGAGAATGAGTATTCCAAAACAGTAACCGTGCTCATGAGGAAGTTGTGCCAACAGACCAAGGGAACACTGAATAGTTTAAAATTAGGAAAGGTGTGTACCAGGGTGGTATTCTTTCACCATATTTATTCAATTTGTATGATGAGCATATAATCTGAGAAGCTGGATTATATGAAGAACAACACGGCATCAGGATTCGGGGAAGATTTATTAACAACCTGTGATATACAGATGATAAAATCTTGTTTGCTGAAAGCAAAGAAGACTTAAATACTGATGAAGATCAAAGACCACAGCCTCTGGCATGACTTGCATCTCAATGTAAAGAAAATAAAAATCCTCAACACTGGACCAATAAACAGTATCCATATAAGTGGAGAAAAGATGGAAGTTGTCAAAGAGTTCATTGTGCTCAGACCAACCATCAACACTCATGGAAGCAGCAATCAAGAAATCAAACAACATATCGCATTAGGCAAATCTGTTGTGCAAGAAATCTTTAAAGTGTTCATGAGCAAAGACGTCAGTTTGAGGAGTAAGGGGCAACTGACCCAAGTCATGGTATTTTCAACAACCTCATATGCATGTGAAAATTGGACAGTGAATAAGGAAGTTTGCAGAAAAATGGGTGCATTTGAGTTATGGTGTTGGAGGAGAATATTATAAGTACCATGGACTGCCAAAAGAACAAATAAATCTGTGTTCCTTAGAAGCCAGGATGAGAAGACTTCGGCTCTCATACTTTGGACCTATTATCAGGAGTGACCAGTCCCTGGAGAAGGACATTATGGTTGGAGAAAAACAGGAAGACTTTCCCTTCCCCCGCACCCCCCAGAGAGATGGACTGGCTCAGTGATAGTAGTAATGGGCTCAAATATAGTAACAATTTTGAGGTTGATGCAGGCCCGGGCAGTTTCATGAAATTGCTATGAGTTGGTATTGACTCAATCATACCTAACAACAATTTTTTAAGGATATAAAAGAACTAAAATCTCTTTAAATGAACAGGGAAGCCATCTAGAAAGTACTTTTCAATTAGGGTTTGACAAAAACAAAAACAAACAAACAAACAAAAACACACAAATCAACAATAACAACAACAAAACACCTAAAAAAGCATCACCGTTAATAAGCCAGAAGTTCCACTAATGAAAAACCACACACCTGTCTTTGTTTTCCCCTCCTTCACACACCATCTTACAGAAGCAAGGGGGCTTTGGGAAGTGAAGACTTTGTATGCGACTGAGGGAAAGCAGAGGCTGCCTAACCCCTGTCCGACAAGGCTGCAGGATTTGACCCTCACTTCATTTAGGGGTGCTTCTTGTCCACACTGATTCATCCAGTTTCCACTGGATTTGGGTTTCCCTTTTTTTTCTGCTATGGCATTTCCTATCACATATCAAAGCATACATGTTTCTATAAATCCAGGGAGCTTGGGAGTCCCAGAGTTCAAGCAGAAGTGGCTAAAGGAAGGTGAACTTTCAGACCATGGAGTAGAGAAAATACACAGAAACTGCTCTAGAGCGCAAGACAGGACGCTTTAATCTGGAACAGGAAGTGAAGCTCAGCTAGGTTTTTTCATGCTCCCTTTATCCTACACAGCGCCTAGTGCACTATGGGTGCTGGAGAGATATGCACAGCAAGAGGAGACAGCTCAGAAAATGATGACACAAATCCCCATCAGGCTGCAAGTTTTTAGAGCATGGATATGCTTACTTGTCTGTGGCGCTTCAAAAGATTCAGAAAGCCTGCAAGCAAAGCTATCTAATTCCTTAGGATGATGGCGTCACTAATAGAATTGTAGACAGCGAAAGTTCTTAAGTGAGAGAGATATTTCTAGTCAGCACTTACAGTCATGATGAATGGCAATCAGTGGATGAGTGTACTTAACAACCAGGAAGAAAGACCTGGCAATGTGTACTTCCAACAAGCAGCCATTGAAAACTGTGGATCACAACAGTCTGAACTGTCACCAATCAAGGAAATGGTGCCGGCCTGGGCACATCCTCATCTCATGTGCCTGAGGACCCTGTGAGTCGGGGGCCAACTAAATAGCTTTACAGTGAGCAACAATATTGATATTGAGTGGGAAGCATAGATCCCTTCAGCTCAATGTTGGAGAAGTACATCCAGAACATAAGTGAAAAGGCATTAAAAAAAAACAAAACAAATGTATTGTGAACATCAGTCACCATGACTCTGAGACCAGAAGAACTAGATGGTGCCTGGCTGTTACTACCAACTGCCCTGAAAGGGATCACATTAGAGGGTCCCAGATAGAGTGGGGGAAAATGTGGAACAAAACTCAAAGTTACTAAAAAAGACAACAGTTACTAGTCAGAAAGAGATGGGAGAAACCTGAGATTATAGCCCACGATCACCCTTCTGGTCTGGAACAGGATGCACCCTCTGGGTCCAATTTTCAGTCAGAGCAGTAGACAGATACATAGCAGGGTAGGGATTAGGGGTGACAACATTAGTAAGGTAAGCTCACCATGGAATGCTCAAACATTCAAAATCCAAAGGGCAACATTTACTCAAGGACAGGTTGAGAAGGGATGGGAAGGAGGGTAGAATGGAAATAGGAACCACAGGGAGAACGTGGGATGATTGTTGTTGCAGGGAGGGGATTGTAATCACTGTGATGAAACAAAGTGTGTGATGTGTTGAGTGTAAAACCGATAATCTCTGTAAGCCTTCACTCATTTCACAATAAACAGTTTTTATTTTAAAAAATTATGCCATTGAGTTTTTATTTTATTTTTTTCAATAACTTACCTATCTTTCAATGAATGGGTGAGTGAATGAATGCCCGGGGTAATTTACTTCATTTTACTATTTTGTCCATTGATGTTTATATACATCAAAACAATCCAACAATCACTTACAGAGCAAGTCTATGTGTAAATTACCGTAGTTGTGTGGTTTTGAAAGGGTTTATATTAAGTACACATTTCCCAAGATACTTTTTATGTTCTATTGACTTACAGGATAATCCAACATTATCTTCAACTGTGGGTGAGCTGTAAGTAGCCTGGTGTTTAGTACGAAAACCTTGTACATTCCTCGCTCCTCTACTCGACTCTCGCCATAAAATATT